TTGGTGCCGCCTGCGCCCCGCCCGCCTCTCAGGCTCCTGGCTGCCGTTCCCGGCAGAGGCGGCGGGTTCTTCCCAGTCATTAATGGGGAGGGTTGGAAAGCGAGGTTCGCTGCTGTCCCAGCCCCACGCCCAGCCTGGACCTCCACGCAGCCGCCGCGCACTGCCCTGATGCCCACGGCGCTCTCTGCAGTCGAGCAGGGGCCCACCTTCCCTGCGGGTCTGCGGGCTGTTTCCACTCCTGTCTCCACTCTGCTTTCTCTTAAAGCTTAATTATAGGATCACAAGTTTGAGCCCAGCATGGCCAAATTAGTGACTAGCAGGACCTTGTCTCAAGATCAAAAATAATAATAATAAGAAGAAGAGGCCTGGAGATGCAGCTCAGCGTGAAGGCCTTGGGTCCAACTCCCCAGCACTGCAAAAGGAAAACGAAAGGCCTAATTTCCAATAAAAACTCAGGAAACAAGCGGCTTCCAGTTCCACTTTTTTATTTAAATAACTGAAGTGACAGCCTTGGCACAGCAGAGGGAAGCGGGTTGGCGTGAGCAGTGGCAGGAGTGTGGTCTGATGAGGGAAAGGGCAGGCAGTGCTGGGGTCACAGCGGCCTCCTGGCACCCCACGTCGGGTTCAGCAGTCATGGCCGTGGAACTGGGGGTGCTGTAGAGAAGCCATCAAGTAGTGACGTCTCCCCAGTCCGAGACCCCAGAGCAGGGGCTGTGAGCTCCCTCAAGGGGCAGGGCCAGGGCATCCCGGTCAGGGTCAGGGGTCACGGCCCCCGGAAGGCATTTCCAGCAGCCCCAGCGGCTGCGTTGGCAGCGGCCGTTCGCACCGCCTGGTTGGAGAAGACACCCGCAGCAAATTCCTGCTGGGCCTTCTGGAAGCTGGCCCCCGTGCGGCGGTATAAGGAGTGGATCTGCAAGAAGAGGGCGTGCTACAGCAGAGTGCACCCACCGCTGCCCCACCCACGGGGCCCCGCCGCTCCCAGCCTGCCGCCTCCAGGGCCTGACGCTGGAAGCACATGCCCAGAGGTCCATTAGCGCCGCTCCTCCTGAACGTTCCGCTGCAGCCTCTTGGGACCCATGATCTCACCCTCCTGCCCAACCTTCCACACAGCCCCTCACCCGCTTTAGCATCACAATTCCCAGCACAGCGATGCCAGTGAAGAGCAGGGCGACCAGCAGCATGAGCACAGCTACAGCAGTGTTGATCTTGAGCACCACCAGAGCAGAGATCCAGCCGCTGCAGGGGAGGCATGTGCCGGTGAGAAGGCGCCGCCTGGGGTCGCAGACATGCCCTGTCCCCCCTGCCTCAGCATCACTCCCTGCCAGTCTGGCGGTGTTTCGCAACCCGCGATCCCCAGCACATCCACGCTTCAGTTTAATCCCAGTCTGCACCATAGCCTCCAGCTCTCCAGGTTCTTCTGGCATCTCCTCTTCATACGCATCACACACCTCCTTGGGAAGCCTGCTCAGAGGGCCACGTGCCACTTTCCCTCCATCTGCCTGCCTGGTGCGGGCTGGACTCCCACATCCTAGGTAGTCTCCTTCTTAAACTACATGTCCCAAGGAACAAAACGCTTCTTTTCTTTGATCAACCCCCACCCCAGACCCAGGGCTGGCTTGGTTTAGAATAGTGGCAGGGAGGAGTGAGCTGGCAGCCTCACAGACCTGAACCCCCAACCTGGGATGCCAATGGCCTGGAGGACAAAGAGCACATCCTGGGCGAAGAAAATGAAGAAAAACACGAAGAAATTGAATGAACTGTCACTTCTGTAAAGAGAAAAAAATGGGGAGAGCAGGAAAAGAATTAGGGCTGGAGGAGCAGGTGTGGAGCCGACCTCAGGCCCACCACTGCCTCCTCCTCCACTTACCGGAAAGCCTTGTACATGGGGCGGTACCAGCACACGAAGGAGCAGGGAGTGAAAAGGAGGACCCAGAGCAGGGACAGGCCAAAGCCTGAGCCATTGTTGGTATCCACACAGAAGCTGGCCAGGCAGGCGAGGAAGTTCAGGAGAAGAGCCGCAGTGCTGCCTGTGGGGCACAGGGACAGCGTGACTGGGCGTCCTGGACTGCAGCTCAGGCTCTGTCACCCTCCTCACAACCCTTCACAAATGCGTCCTTACAAAGAAAGGGAGACGGCGCCTGCCTTCCTGGAATCCACTCAACAAGCCACACACAACATGCAAATCTCATTTCCACTGATCCCCTTGAAAAGACCTGTATTTATTTTGTTTGCTTGTGGAGCTAGAGATTGATTTCTAGATGTTTTTTCTTATTTTGAGACCAGGTCTCACAAAGTTGCGCAGAATTTGTAATCTTCTTGCCTCAGACTCCTGAGCGGAGATTATAGATCTACACCACTACACCTGGCTCCTTGCACAGACTTTTAAAGAACTCAAGAGTACAACCAGGCAGTACGGTTGTACTTCCAACTACTGGATAGACTGAGGCAGGAAGATGACAGCTTAGCAAGATCTGTCTCAAAGAAGAAAAGGTGCTGGGTCAGCATTCAGAAGGCTGAGGCAAGAGGATCACCATGGGTTCAAGGACAGCCTGGACTACATAGTGAGTTCAGAACCAGCCTGGGTTCACAGTGAGACCCTGCCCCAAAAGCTAAAAGAAATAAAGAAAAGATCTAGGAAACCGGGCGTGGTGGCGCACACCTGTAATCCCAGCACTCGGAAGGCTGAGGCAGGAGGATCGCTGTGAGTTCGAGACCAGCCTGGACTACATAGTGAACTCCAGGTCAGTCTCAACTACATAGTGAGACCCTGTCTCAAAAAAAAACAAAACAAAAAAAAAAACAAAGAAAAGGTCTAGGGATGCAACTCAATGGTAGAGCACTTGCCTAGCATGCATCAGGCCCTGGTTCAAACCAAAGTGCCATCAAAAAATAAATTAAAAAAAGAAAAAATATCAGATGATGTTTATGCACGGGAACAAATGAAAGAACATACACTCCCTAGCAGGCTGGTTAACAGGTTCAAATAAATTCTAAATATAACAAAAAAAGTAACCCAGTAAGTCTCCTTGAGTAGTGACCCTTGTTCTCAAATGCTGAGAAAATGAAGTATCTGGTTCTCAGTGAACGGACTCTAGAGCACTGAGAGGTCTACCCACAACTTCCTTCAAAAAGGCTTCTCACTACTCACACATCCAGAGGTAGTACATGGTGGACACTGTCTTCTGAAACTCCTGGGGGATCTCCATGGAGATATCTTGGAAAAAGCAGGGCTGGACTGGGCAAAATGAAGGTAGAGGGGGCCAATTGTTCTGTCGAGCTGTAGGGCACAAAGCACAGGCAGACCCCAGACCTGAGGCAGCAACCACAGAGGACTCACTTCCCCTTCCCTCCATCCCAAGTCCTCTTGGTCCTGGGTCTCCAGAGACAAGGACAGGTGAGAAAGTCACAGCAGCCAATGTTTATTATTATAGCATTTGCAGCATCTAACCATCATGCCAAGTGCTTCTCAGACACATTCTTGTTTAACATTCACAATAACCCTGCCAAACAAGATACAAATGTTATTCTCATTTTAAAAATAAGAAAACTGAGGCACTTAAGATTAAGTATCCAAGAGACTAGGGGTGTGGCTCAGTGGTGTAACACTGTCTGGCATGTGCAAGGCCCTGGGTTCAATACGCAGCACCAGAGAGAGAGATACTGAGTAACCTGAAGACCTCATGCAGGTAAAACCTTTCGTTTGTTCCTTCTAAAACACCAGATGCTCTTGCTCATCCTACTGGGCCCCACTTACTGGCTGTGCCCCCCAGGGCAACATGCTGCAGCTCTCGCTCCCTCCGGTCCAACTCCTCTGCCTTCCTGTTGAGTTCCTCCTGCTTCTTCAGCAGCTCGGCTGTGGCTGCAGCAGCGGACACCTACCCAGCCCGCGCAGAGGGAGGAGTAAGACCTGGGCCCCAGGCCTCGCTCCTCTCCCTGTCTCCACCTACACACCCACGCCTTACCTGAGTGCTGTAGGAGCCATAGTTTTTGGGTTCTGTGGGGCTGAGCTTCCGTGAGGACTGTAAGGGGGCAGCTGAGGGTGGAGGCAAAGGCGCAGGGGCAGGAGCAGGAGCTGGAGCTGGTTCGTAAGCTGGTGCTGGCTGCTGGGGAAAAAGCCTTAGAGGTCTCATCTAGTCTCTCGTAACACAGAAGCCCAGATCCTACTTCAAGTCTTCAGAATCAATTCATTAGCTAGGGCAGCAGTGCTTCCACTACTTGTTAGGAAGCCAATGCTTGTGCTCAGTGTATGCTGAGCTCTTTCGTGACCTGCAGCATCCCTGCACACCTGTCACATCAAGTTCTTTACCAGGCATCAAAGTATGTACTGACCTACACCCCCACCCCCTTGACCTCTTACACTCACTGTTTTCTATCCAGGGCAACAGTCTAGTCTCCCTCATCCCTGCCTCCTAACTGCACACCTAACCACATTTTCTCAACCCTGCCCAGGCCCAGCCTTAACCTTCTTCAAGAGTGTTTCCAGGTAGCCGCTTGGTTCAGGTCCTACCAGACTCCAGGTCCTTCTGCCTGTCTTTTACAGCTCAAAGGATCAGGCATCCTATGGCGGACTGGTGTCTCAGGGAGGTAAGACCAAGTGCTTCTTCCATCCTCCGCATGCAGCAAAGTGCCCTGTCCCCAGACCAACGGGACGTACTCTGCCTTTCCTGGTCCTGTGTTCTCCAGTGCTCACCTCTCGGGTCTCAAAAGGATTGTAGACATCAAGGGTGGCATACTGCGGGCTGGGCCGGTGCTGGATCACGGCTGGGTCCTAAGGGTGGAGATCTGGGCTCAGATGGCACTCGGGGCCTTCAGCGGGACTCCTCGGACCCTCTCCTAAACTGCCTGGGTCTCAGAGCACTGCACCTTCAGAGCTACGATGTTGTTCCAACATCTGCCTTCAAGTCCATCAGCCTAGCCTCATAGCACCAGCTCCTTACAGCAGGGCCCGTCCTACCCGAGTATTCACTGGTCTGGAGCCCCCGTCACCCCCACGTGGCCGCACTTCCCCGGATCAAATGTCAAGAGTGGGAATTCAAGTTACCCCGACCCTACAGAAAGGGAGGAATCAACCCGACTGGCCAAAGGAGGCCGGCGCAAGTCACCTGAAAGGGATTATCCAGCTCGCTAGACTCAGCGAACGGGTTTCCGCCGTCTCTGTTCTGGGCCATTAATACCAGGGAGAGTCTTTAAATTCCAGTATTTGCCATTCTGTATCCAAGAAGAAGAGCAAGTATGAATCTGTCTAGAGCTGAGGCCTGAGGAATGGTGATGACTGAGGTTAAAAGGTGTGTGCACACAGAACAGACAGACTCAGCTCCTGTGCTGTCGATCCGCCCAGCTCCACTATGCACGGATTGGCCGAACCTACCGGAAGGGTTTTAAGGAACCCCGTAGCAGGAGCTCGCTGCGCCTGCGCCATGACCAAAAGCAAAGACGGAAGCTCCTCACACGATACTTTTAACTCGGCGCCCGCGCCCCGCCCCTCCCCCCACGTGACTTCAAACAAAAAACTACAACACCCAGGGGCCTTCCCACCACAGCTCTGCCAGGGGCGCCTCCTGCTTAGTCGCGGCGGGCTTATAGGAGCCCAAGTTGAGCATTTTGAATTTCTGACCCTGTACACGGGTGTGTGTGTGAAGGAGAGAAACCCAACGGTTAAAGTCAGGCATCGCCCAGCCCCGTTACTCCACACCAGTGAACTGTCACTTTATAACTTGTCCCCATCCTAATTCACAAAAAATGCTTTTCCATCCCTGGCCACCCTGCGCTCACAATACAGATACTCTGGCAGCTTGGCTATAGCCAAAAACTTTGGATGATAAAATGAGCTCCGGGAAGCTGCCAATTCTCACTCTCCACTCCAGTACCCCTAAACCTACAACTCCGTGGGAGGGGGAGGTCAGATGAAGCACGTCATTTATTTCACAAAGACTGTACAAAATTCCTTATAAAACATGGGGTAGATGCCACCTGGTTACCTCCACTCTGCCCCCTTCCAACTCCACATGGGGGCAGGCAAGGGCCGGAAGAGTGTGGATGAGCAGCATTATGTACAAGGCAGGGGCTGAAGTGATAGGTACAAGTTCTGTCATATTTACACTATTTCACATATTCACAGGTGTACAGGGAGCCGGAGGGCATAAACTCTGGCTCTGTTCTCTTGTATAAAAAAGCACCAGTGTCCTGGACTGGACACCCACTGCTATAAGAGCTGCAGAGGGGCCCAGGGCCTGATCGTCACCGACTGATATCCCGACTGGAGTCCCACAGCTTGGTGTTGGGTGGCTCAGCCCGAATGCGAGCGAAGAAAGGATGCTGAAGGGCTTCGCCTAAGGTTAGCCGCTTAGCAGGTTCATATTCTAGCATGCTTTCAATCAGATCGAAGAGCTGGTGGTGTTCCTCTGCCTCTGAGGTCAGATACCGCTGGTGGAGGACAGGAGAGAGGTGGAGGAGGATGCTTAGAAACCCTGCCTTCACGGCTCTACTTGTAACCATTCCGATTGCTAGTTTACCACAACCAAACCACAGCCAGTGTTTTTCTTCTTTTGGTAGAGAACTGAATCCAAGGTCTTCAGCCCCAAGCTACATCGTACTTGGCCCTTTTTGAGAGAGGGTCTCATGAAGTAACTAAGTTGCCCAGGTTGGGCTCTGACTTACAGTCCCCCAGCCTCAGCCTACCAGTGCTGAGGTTGCAGGTGTGTGCCACCATGCCAAGCCCCACATTTCTGATATCACAGCTCAACCCCGCTCCCCACTAGCACAATTACTTCTTCATACCCTTTGTTTTGCTTTGCTTTTTTTGTTTTGTTTTGAGACAGGGTCTCACTATGTAGTTGAGACTGATCTGGAACTCACTATGTAGCCAAGGCTGGTCTGGAGCTCACAGAGATCCTCCTGCCTCAGCCTCCCGAGTCCTGGGATTATAGGCATGTGCCACCACGCCCGGCGACTCCTTCATACCCTTTGAAAAGTTTTTCTACTTGCATATCCTTGTCAACTTCATGAATCTTCCACAGCTCAATAAAATGTAAGTTCTTCAAATGGTAATTTATTTTTTTTTCTGTCTAACCTAAAGAATCCAGGATACTCCTTTGCTCTCTCTGGCTGTCAAGATTAGTCTATTTAACCTCCTTGGCTTCACAAACCATGCTCTGGAATATTTTACTAACCAAAGGTATCTTTCTTCTGTTTTCCTCCCCTCCATCCCTAGCCCTCTGCTTGTGGAGCGCCTTCCAAGGGCAAAGTGCCTTAGGAAGTGATCTCTAGATGTTGGGCCCTATTTGTCCCCGCCTGGCTCACCCGAAGTGGTTTGCAGTTCTCACGAACGTAACGCCCAGCTGACGTGTTCTCATCCCAATCCAGGCGACCCCGGTAAAAATATTTCTGCTTTCTAGAGGAATCAGAAAGTTAAAATACACTTCCCTTATTTCCTCATGAGAGGGTAACTGGGGGAGGTATTAAAAAAAAAAAGAGAGATGACACGAAACACCAGTTCTCCTGAGAGAAAAGGTTCAGGTCCCTCCCACTCAGGTTTACCTTGTTTTCCGAATCATCCGAGAAGGGATGGGACCCAGGATCCTTTCCATCATGGCTAGATGCTCTCTGTTGTCATGAGTCTGGGAAACAAAAGACCAGTCTGAGCACGGAAATGAGAAGGGAAGTGGAGGGTCAGCTGCCACATGGGCGTGTGGAGGAGCGGGCAGGAATGTCCCCGGCAGCCCAAGGAGAGCAGGCCGAAGAACCCCAGACGGTCAAAACCCTTCCCCACTTACCTGGAAGAGAGTGAAGCCAACATAGTACTCAAAGATGATGCAGCCTATGCTCCAAACGTCACAAGGCTGTGACCAGCCCAACTCTGGTGGGAACCGGAGGGAACAGGTACTGAGGGCTTAGAAGGCCCACCGCACAACGTGTCACTTCACACACTCACGCCCCCTGCCCTTCCTTACCGAGGATGACCTCCGGGGCTCGGTAGTGGCGAGTGGAGACGATGGTGCTGTGATGCTCGTGGTCAAAGGTAGCACTGCCAAAGTCCACCACCCGCACAGCTGTGCTCTTCACGCTGCGCTCATCTCGCTTCTAGGAGCAAAGCAGGAAGTGAGAAACAGCTCTACAGCCCAGTGCTCCACCACTACTCTCCACAGCACCAGGGTCTCAAACAGCATCTGACCAGGTGTGCTGTGACACACCTGAAATCCAAACCAGGGCAACTTAATGAGACCCTGTCTCAGAACGTAACATAAAAAAGGGCAGTGATTTAGCTCAGTTTAAAGGGCCTGGGTTCGATCCCCAGTACTACACTAAAAAAATAAGTTAAATAAAAGCAACTCTGGCCTGCTCCCTCCCACACACTCTGGAAAATCTCTTGCTTACAACAGTATTTTTAACAGTGGGCAAGGAATAAACCATGATTATAGAATAGCGTGAAAGCCTATAAACATAGGAAGTCTACACCTAAGTGACTGGTGTACTATTTTCACGAGTATGTAACATGTAGTAAAGGCTAAGAGCTACAGATAAGAAAACATTTTTAGCTCTGAGATCTCCATCATCTTCAGAAGGTCATGGGAGTTAGGCTTTCCTACCTCACAGAAATACATGTCTTAGCCAGGCTTGATGGTGCACACCTATAACTCCAGCACTTGGAAGGCTAAGGCAGGATTGCTGTTGAGATCAAGGCCAGACTGGGCTACATAGCAAGTTCAAGACCGGCCTGAGCTACAGAGCAAGACTGTCTCAATTAAAAAAAAAAAAAAAAAAAAAA